GGGGGGCGGTGCGGGGGCTCCAGCGGTGCGAGGGAGGGGGAGGACTAGCGTAGACTAGCGCGGCCGACGGCTCGGGGCTCGGGCTCCGGTCGGCTCGGCTCCGCTCGGCTAGTGGCTCGGGCTGACGCTACGGCGGCTGGCGGCTGGCGACTGGCGACGTACGCCACCTCACGACCCCGCCTAGCAGGCCCAGCCCAATACGTATATGAGCTTTCTTCTGGTTCTCTTTAATATTTCTTAATCGAGAGTAAAAGCAATGACACCTTACATTACTCATGTATAGTTATATGTATGTTAAGTGTAAGTAAGTTTAAGTTTGTAAGGTATCATCTGCTAAAAAGAAAGATTGAAAAAGAGGCGATAAAGGTCACGGGATTCGCGGTCGCGGTGCTTTTGAAAGAGGGCAGGGGAAAAAATATGTGTCCGCAATGGCGTGAATAAAATATTGGTCGCCACTTTTATTTTCTTTCGTTGAGTGCCTCATGCGATCGGCGCGGTCGCTCTGTCGGTCAGACGCGCTGCATATTGACGAGCGATTGCGCACCAGCTGTCCGTCCGTCCGTCCGTCCGTCCGTCTCCAGACGGGGCGCACACCACACCACACCGCACCACGCCGGGGTCCACGGCAACCTTGTCTGCTAGTTGCTCTAATGAGCGCTAGCACCGCCAGGAGGCGCTCGCAGCACCGCGCCCGGGACCCTCACATTACATCACTTACGTGTACGAAGATTGCGAATCGACCGCACCCCCCCCCCCCTCCTCACGACGGGACGGGCCGACCAGAGAGGTGCACATAGCCGGGAGATTAATCGCCCCCTATCGCTCGTATTAAACAACATCGCGTCGGACAATCACCTCCCGAAACGCACTAGTCAGCGCAAAAAACTATTCGTAGATGTACAACAATCTGTAGACTCAACACACTTATTTTTTAAACGGAAGATTCCACTAAGTTAAACCGAAAACGACTCGACGATGCCATTTTAGTACAGGGTGGTCGCTGTGCCCGTCCGAGGAAATGCGTATACTAGTCCGCATGCACGAGGGCGGACGCCGACGTGTTTACCTATCATCTCCACTCTGAAAACTCAACAGTGTACATTGTACGCTGATATTGGCAATCATTGATGATATCAGTGTACATGGCATGTACACTGATATATCAGCAATCATGTACATATACATACATGTACTGAAACAAATGAACACTGTTAACTTTTCAGAGTAGCCAGCTTTTGGACCCCGTGCGAAAAGGCAACCCGTCCGCAGGTGTGCACTCACTTTCTGACAGCTGCATGTTTCCGGACGTTATTTAAACCATTAACTGTGGCTGGTATACGCATCTGACGCATTTGCGTGCGACCACCGCACCCCTGAACCGATTGTAAAGGCTAAATACTCCTGAATGTTGCGGGTTTGCATACTCAAGGGGCTATGGCGCCTTGCGGGCAGATCGGGTAGGCAAACCCGCAGCACTGTGCGGTGTATTGCCTTTACACTGTGAAAAATATCGTCGTAAATTTACAAAAATTTTGTAAACTCGAATTATAATTTAAGTTGTAAATTTACGACAGCACATTTTTTGCTCGCCTAGGGATTTGAAGTCGATACATACTGCATGTATCTTTACGATTATTAAAAATTGCAATTTTACAACTTGCGTTAAGGAAAATTTTCCTGTAAACCTACCTACTTTCTTTCACAGTGTACAGACGGTATATATCAGCGGTATGAGAGTAGAATCGTAAGCTGTATTGTTAAAAAAAAAAACACACAAAAAAAAACGCTTTAGCTTCATATGCACATGACGCCGATCGTGACGTCCCGATGATGACCCCGAACGGCACTTGTTCTGTCACCCTGGCGCGCGCGGGCGGGCGGGCGGGCGGGTGTCACCGCATATCGAGTGTCGGCCGTGCGTGCGGCCGCGGCACGCGGGGGAAATCGAAGACGGTCCTGCTCGGGGCGTGCGTGGGCGGGCTGGCGCGTGCAGGCGCGCGTGACGCACACGCCGTTACCTCACCGCCGCTCACCGCCCTGAAGTGCTTCCTGCACTCACTCTCTGACATGTTTCCGGACGTTATTTAAATCACTTACAGTGGCTGGTGTTATTATAATTATTTTCGCGATTATTCGACTAACGGCCAAGATCGTTCGTTTTAAAAGTACTCACATGGATATGTGCGGGGTATATGCTCCCGGTTCTGCTCACAACAGAGCCGTCGATAACAGTATTTGACTGTTGCGTGTTCTGTTCGCAGCGGTCTGCTCGTGTCCTTCCTGTACTTCAGGACGACGGCCAAGCTGGACGTGACCAAGATCACCAAGATGACGGGCATCCGGTCCAACGCCCTGGAGTTTGTCGGACTCCTCATGTACCGCTTCCTTAGGTCAGTGGTGGTTTCCTTCGTGTGGAGTTGATTCCATTTCAACGCCATTTCACTACTTATTAACTGCTGCAAACGCCGCTCTTGCGCGTTTGATTTCAAATAACGCTAACGCCGTCTGCGTGCCGCCACAGGTTGACGGCGCCCTACCTCTTCTCGCTGGGCATGGTGCAGGTGACGATGAAGTGGTTCTACTACAACAGCGTGTTCGAACCGCCGACCATGGACCACGTCAACTGCCCCAACTACTGGTGGCGCAACGTGCTCTACATCAACACCCTCTTCCCCGTCAAGGACATGGTAAGTGTGCACATTCCAGCCCGCACTATTGATAATTCCTTGCGAACCTTTTTGGCTGGCCTGTGATCGTAAGCCTTACAAAGCACAAAAAAAGGAACAGTTCGCAATTGATTCGCAAATTACAAACCAGCCGCAAGGATTCTACAGTGCAGTGTCCTTTCTGCCTGCTCCGCCGCGTGGCCACGCACCCATGGCTCCCAGATGAGGACCAGGAAGCTCCCAGTTTGTGTTTAGGCCCCTGCCCCCCCCCCATTCCAATCCTCCTTGTTCCTTCCTTCCTTCCGTTGTGGGCGTGCCGTACCGCCACGAGCGTGCGGCTCTTCCTGCGCACAACGAGTACTTCCAGACTGCGAACAGAGTGTTTACTTCCCCAGTGTGAGTCTGCGGAAGAGAGAGGGGGGGGGGGCTCCCCTTTTCCGCGGAATGCATTGTATGAGACTACTGACGCGTGCTCGCGACGCTGAGGTGTTGATTCCCCGTAAACGCCACGGTAACGCTATCCAATCCACGCCAGTTCAAAACTTTTGTATTTTCCTACATTAAAAAAAAACTCTTTTCCTTTCAGTGCATGCTTTGGAGCTGGTACCTCGCCGACGACACCCAGTTCTACGTCCTCGGGGTCATCCTCCTCATCCTCGCCACCAGGTATGAGACGTCGGACCGAGCACGTGAACGCACGGAGGGCGTACAGGAGCGTTCTCGAGGACCTAACATGGCTGACATTTAACGCAGTTTCCTGTAACCTTAAAGAAATGACCTTAAGATTTTATAACAAGTTTTAAAAAAACAAAAAACTACAAATGATTGTTATCTGACGATGTTGTGTTGGTTTTCCAGGTTAAAGTAAGTGGACTGACTTCGAGAGCAACATGTTGACTCTGACCTCTGACGGTGTCAAAGCGACCAGCCCCCCCTGCATGTTGGTTCCGGACTGACACTCGCTCCCGTGCGGGCGAGGGTGCTGCGAAAGCCCTCTAACCACTCGCCAAATATGCTTTTCTATATATATTTTTTTTTCGCTGATAGCTGGCTGGCTGCGGAGGTTTGGTACACATGACGCCAGGTAACGCTTTCTCGTAAAGAGAGTTAACTCGCACCACGCGCCTCCTAACCCGAATAAACAAATTAACCTGCACGCTCCGTATGCACCAAACTCGTCGCCTCACTGCACTTGCACTCCTTCCTACTGTTCGCCTTGTGCTTCCTCCTTGCTTTCTCGGCACGCTGCATCGGCACTTCTCGACGACCACTTCCACGAATCACTTTAGGGGACTTGCAGTCTCCGATACGACCAGCTTGTCTTCCCAACCGTTCGCTTTCCTCCTCTGTTTTGTTCTTCCAAGTCCCAAGAGTGACAGAGACAAAGATCATCCCTTCTTTTCCGGACTCAGCCTTGGGCCATTACTTTCCTCGCTAACCGAGGAGGGGCGGCGGGAGCGCGGGGCCGCGTCCGAGTAGGAGTTGTTCTGACGCGACCTGTCCAGGCACCGGAACACCCCAACTAGCCAGTGGCGGTTACGTGGCGTCATAATCACTAGAGGTGGGCGGGAGGGCCGGACCAAGCTAATGCCTCTTGCGTCACAGGCCCGCCCCGCCCCGCCCCGCCCCGCCCCGGGACTCGAGTTGAGATTGGCCAAGGTTAGGGTCAGCGAGAGGGTGAGGTCCTCGCGTCCCCCCTCGGCCCGGGCCGGGCCCCTGTCAAGCCCCGAGTGGGCCGCGCCGGCAGGCTCCACTGCCTGGCGGGGTTGCCTACCCTGCGCTCGTAAGGCGCTCCGCCCGGGCTGGTCTCTGACGTCTCTCTGACGTGTCTATGACGTGTCCGTGACGTGTCTCTGACGTCTTCGACTGTCGCTGTCGTGTGTGTTTCTGTGTGTGTGTGTGTTATTTCTGCCTTTTCCTTGCCCATATCTGGGCGCAGACCACGTGGTTTTCCGAGAGTTGGGGTACGATTAATTTAACCCTTTTCACCCTCCTGCTGAAAGCACACTACTCGTGGATCAAAATTGACGACCCCAGTGGCTCTCTTTAACAACCGTTGTTTGCGCCCGCCACTCTGCCACCCGCGTTAAGAGAACATCCACAAATTACGCCGTTTTAGGGATGGGGTACTTTTATCACACCTTAATTGAGTTCAGCGTGCAGCGTTATGATAGAGGCTGACGCTGAATGAAGTTTACCCCACTTCCTACAAAGAAAAATATTTTCTACGGGAAAAACTTTACCAACGCACATGAAACAACTCTAATTCAAAACAAGAGTTCAATCAATGGTGCAGTGAGAAACCTACCCCAGCCCTAAAAGACGAGATAACTTGTGTACTTGTCTGTGCCTGACCTACGCCTGCTTGCAGCCACATCCGCCTGTCGGCCGCCACGCTCGTCATGTTCATGGTGAGCTCGTGGTGCACCACGGCCTACATCGCCTACAGCAACGAGCACATGCCCGCCGAGGACGACCCGCTCGCGCTCTTCGACAAGATCTACGACAAGCCGTGGACGCGGCTCGGCCCGTACCTCGTGGGCATGGCCGTCGGCTGGATCCTGTTCAAGACCGACTGCAAGATACGCATGAGCAAGGTGAGCGTCGGCCTGGGGGCGGGTCGAACTTCGGCCCTCCCGTTCCGTGACGTCCCGAAGGTGCGAGTGAGAGAGTGTGGACCCGGGCGCCCAACCCTCTCTTACACTCTCCGCCTGCTGCAGGTGACGGTGCTGCTCGGCTGGGCGGTGAGCTTCGGCTGCCTGCTGACGCTGTTGTACGGGCTCTACGGCGCCGTCCTGGACCCCATCACCGCGGCCGCCTACTCCTCGCTGTCGCACACGGCGTGGGCCATGTGCATCTCCTGGATCGTCATCGCCTGCTCGTGCGGCTACGGAGGTGCGTGTCCTGGGCTGAGCCGAGTCATCGCGTGAGCGCCTGGCCCCGAGCGCCTCAAAGCTGACTGACTGACGCCGTGTTACAGGTCCCATCAACAGGATCCTGTCGTGGACGGTGCTGTACCCGTTCAGCAGGGTCACCTACTGCGCGTACCTGGTGCATCCCGTCGTCATCCGACTCCTCAGCATGAAGATGGACGCGCCGCTGCACCTGGGCGCCTACACCATCGTAAGTAGCGCCGGCACTGCCTGTCGCCCTCGCCAAGGGCCCTGGCCCTGGCGCGCCACTGACGCCACCTCTCTCTCTTGCAGTTCATCCTGTTCCTGGGCATGCTCGTCGCGTCCTACCTCTTCGCCTTCGTGCTCTCGCTGGCCTTCGAGGCGCCCGTGGTCACCATGTTGCGCCTGATCTCCCCGAAGCGGAAGGCCGGCGTTGGCAGGGACCAGTAGCCGCCGTCGTCGCCGCTGCCCGACACATTGATGCCAAAGCCCCAAGCCACCAGCCACTACAACAGCCTCGCGGCCTTGTTGGCCTGGTTCGACGATGTCGTCGATTTATTTTCACTTTTATGACAATTGCTAGTTTTGATTATCGTCCTTTTTCATTTTATTTTTTTTTCTTTTACTTTTTAGACCTTTTGAGTCGCCAATCTTACCATAGCCAATGTCTCAAGAGTTCCTAGATAGTATGACAATTATATTTTTTAAAACAAAAAACAAAACATTATGAATGGGAAAGTTGGGTTTGTTTTCTTATTACAGAGATTGTCAACAAATTGGCGTATGGACTGCCTCACCCATATCGTTTCAGAAAACACAACCACAAGTATCATGTAGTTTCCTGTACACTGAAGGGTCTGCCTTGAACTTGGTCCACACTTTTTGTTAGACACTGAGAAATAAAAGGACAGGACCGAGTCTACATGGTGGCTGACTGGCTCTCCCTACTTTCGTAGTATATCTAAGAAAGTGGACCGGGCCAATCAGCCCCCTGGAATATATGAAAGGACCCTACAGAGTACAAATATTGATGTTGCTTCTTCAAGCAGATTGACACGGGAAAACGGTCGACAAAAAAGGGAAATATTTTTTTAGTAATGATGCATTTTTCTCATGAGTTAGAATAAAATATCTGATTGCTTTTGTTTGCAACCAATGCATATCGTCTGATATATAAATAATGTATATTTGTTATATGATTGTACATGTGATCTTTTGAATGAATGAGTTTGTTGTGTATATACATGAATGCATGTGTTTTGTGGTATGTACATTTGAGAGTGAAGAGAAAGAGTCAGTCTGTTGTTTTGATTAGTTAGGCTGGATATGTTACTATTAGAACAGTTCATTCATCATTTAATTTGTAACTACTTAGTTTAGAAAATCTAGTTAATATTTCAAAGAAACCTAACATCATTATTTTCCCTGTAGACTGGAGTACTTGAGACCCTGTCTGTTATTTTGGTTGTAACATATCAAGTGTTTTTAAATAGCTACAAGTATGACACACGTGTAAACAGGGTAATCATGACAAGAAAACAAAGACATCAGTTGTAGAAATAAGAAAATCAGTACTTATAATTGCAGCCAACAAACACATTTTTTTGATAAAATGATTGCTACAATGAAACATGTAAAATAATATGTAAGATAAGTAAGGAATAAATTATTAGGCTATAAACAAACAAAATGTACAAGTGATGTTAAAAAATAAAAGTTCTTGTAATGAAAGAGTGTGTTGTTGTTGTTGTTTTTCTGAACCTTTACAAGGCATTTTCTGATAAATCCAGTGTTGAAGCGGTGACGCCTCCACGCTACACAGAATGTCAGGCATCACTGCCGTCACACAGGCTGCACGACACTTGGACCCCGGTCAGTAGTCGTCGCAACGCGGCGCATTCCTCGTCGCACGCATCCCCGTCGTGGAACCGAACCCTATTCAGCAGGAGCCTCCCGAGCGACGGCAGAGCGCACATGGCTAGCAACGCGGGCCAGACGCTGCAACTATCGGCATCCGCACTCGAGGAGAGCTCCAGCACCTCGAGCGTGCCGCTGTGCGCCCGCAGCAGGGACAGCAGGGTCCCGCTGGGGAAGTCCCTCACACTCAGCCACCGCAGGCCGCGGCGCCCCGGCGGGAGCGCGGGCAGCTCGAGGGGCGCGGCCTCGGCGTCAAGGTAACGCGCCTCCAGCCTCCTCAGCCGCGGCATGTCGTGTATGGCGAGCAGGTGCGCGTCCCGGAGGTCCTTCACATGCAGCTCCTCCAGCGTCGGCGCCGCGCAGCGCAGCAAGTCGAGGGGCCAGCGGGGATCGGGCCACCTGCATGATACATTCTTCAGCGACAATACCTGACGCAGGGGGTGGGTGTGAGAACGGCAGCAGGCAAAGACATTGCTCGTCGTACATTTGGAGGTATTCATTTTG